GTGAGCCTGGGTTACCTAAGCCACATTATTTGGGGATCTGAGGAACAGCCTGCACATGTTAAAACCACTGCCCTTTTGCAAGATTACATCAGGCTGCACAGCCACACCTCCCAGTGCAGATCTCAGACTTTTCCAACCCCCACTTTGAAGGCAGTGAAAGGATTTTGAGTCGATTGAGTGCCTTAATGTGAAATATCATTTCTAACATATGAACAAGGCACAAGCGAAGCATCTGTTTGCATACAGAGCACAATTAAAGTTGACAAGACTGATTACAGCAAAAATATCCCCACTGGAGACTAAACCAAACAGTTTATTTTGATTTTTTGAATTATCAAATAAATTAGCAAGTATTTGATTCAAAAGGGGCTGATTTCTCTTGTCACTCAAAAGGGAAAAAACAAGTTCCATAAAGAGCCCGCTGCATGCTTGTAAAGTAAAGACCTCAAAGGCAGCCTTATGCAACTCAGCCCCCAGAATGAATTTGGAGTTCTGCACCATCAGAGTGAATATCAGCACTTACACAGAGCAGAACTGGGTCAGCCAGGGCACGGGACTCACCTTAGCTTCACATTCTGCCCCGTGTAGGACTCGTAAGGTTTCTCCACGTGTGTGAACTCAAAGTCAAAGGTTTGTGATTGAGTGAATTCCCCAGGCCGGGCCAGGTCCTTCACCAGGGACACGAACTCGTGGTGGTTCCCTCGGTCATAGTAGAGCTCTAGGAAAATGGAAATCCAGGTTAAGCTTAACCCCACGTGACACAGGAGATTTTCAGCAGCTCTCCTGTCCAGGTCACTACTTCTTTCAACACCATTCACAGAACCTACCAGGGGAGCTGCACTTGTTCCCTGCTCTCCATCAGAGCCAGGTGCAGGCCACAACTTTCCTCCCTGAAACAGGAAGGAAAAGGTCCACACAGCCTCCTTTATTACAATAAATCAAGAATTTGCCTTGGGGAGGCACGAGTCGCCTATTATCAATATTAAATATGGTTTGCAGCTCATGCAAACCCTTCCAATAATCTTCTGCACTGTATTGCAGGGCAAAGGTATTGTCACTGTGAGGAAAAACCACCACTGCTTGTCTGGAACAGAGAGTGGCAGAGCAAAACTGAGGGGACACAACAATTCCACTGCTCCTGCTCATCCTTGGGCAGCAAAGAGCTTGAGTGGCCTTGAGCTGCAGCAGGGAATAAATGACAATGCTGATCCTGCTGCACAACCACCCTGTGTGTGGGGAGGCAGCTGAATCCTCTGCTCCTAGAGCCCATGGACAACACATTAATGGCCACGTGAGCACGGTGAGGGGAGAGCTCTCACCTCTGGAAGCACTGCTCAAACCAGCTCAAGTGACCAGCATTGCCTCGCTTCTCCCCACAACCCTCCCACATCAGCAGGAAACTACAGGTTTCCTCATTTAATGAAAGCAATCCTCCACACCTCCACCGAGTTTTCAGCCTCAAGACAAAGCAACAAAACTCTTCAATCTCTGCAATTTGCATGAACAGCTTGGGATTACCCAAACCCATCAATGAAACCTGCCCTTCCCAGCCCTGTGTGTGAGCCTGTGCCTACAGGACACCCACACAGTCCTTCTGCAAGGCAAAGCCTTTCTGCTTAGATGGGGAAACAAAAACCTAAGTCATCACACAATCACACTCACACAAGCTCAGTGTCAGCACTAAACTGTGCAGAGGAGGCACAGAGGTGCTCAGGAACTGCAGTTCAGCCCTCCTTGAGATGCACAATGAGATTTCAGCTTTTAAGTGATGCCTGCTCCTCACAGCCCTTTGCTCACCTTATCTCTCTAATGGAAATTTTGGCACTAGAGCTCCCCTGACTTACGCACAACAGCAAATGTCACCAAGCCCTTTAGGCTGGGCAGGTGACATAAATAACCAAGCCTCTCTCTGTGCACTGAATTTGTGAGTCCACTGAGAGGAAAGTGCTCGCTGATGTGAGAGGGAGAAGCCACGTGCCAACAGAAAAACAGGAACCAGCCACAGAAACAGAGGAATCAGCCCAGACCATCGTGATACACAATGCAGAAGGCACAAATCAAAAAAGCAAGGGGAGGCAGATGTCAGTGCACTGAGTTCTCTGCCACCTCAGAAGGTCATGTTTGGCACCCTGCAGCCTTCAGCAGAGTGATGTTTCCCACACTCCAGCCTGTCAAACAGGTATAAGCTGTAATTTCAGGTTTTCAGAGCTATAAGGTTTCCAGACTGAGAAAATAACCTGCCAGCATTTCAGTGGCTTGCTCAGGCCACAGCCACCAGAGGTGAAGCCATCTGGAATGGGTTCTGCGCTCACCTGGGAGCAGGCAGGACCCAGCACTCACAGTCTGGAGCATTTTCTCTGCAAAACCTCCTTCCTTCACATCCCAGTCCCCCTGCCCGTTAAATTGTCTGACCTCCATGCTGACGTGGTAGCAGCAAGAAGTCAGAATAGAGATAGAAAGCACTGAGAAATGCAATCAGTGGTACAAACTTCAGTGATTTATCAAAAAGGCCTGAGGGGCATAAGGACTGACGTACAGCCACAGCAGCTGTAACACACCCTGCTTGGGCAATAATGTGCAGACAAAGCAGTAATCCCATGCAGGCATGGCTCAAAAGTCTTCCAAAACAGGGAATGAGTTGCAGGCAAGGCAGCACGGCAGAGACAGTGGAGCAGGAAACAAAGTTCATGCTTAATTTCCACTGGGAACCGTATCAATAGGAGCTCATAGCCTGGCTCCTGGTGAACAGCCTCACCTACACTCCATCACTCACACACTCCCCTCCTTTAAAAAAAACAGAGTCAGGCACAAGCAAAGCCAATAAAACTCAAACAGCAGCATGGGGTTGGGTGGGAAATCTCCTGCTCATTTCCCTCACCACACAATTTGCAATGCAAAGGCTGCAGGCCCCTGGCTCCAGCAGTGATTTTGAGGTTTAGAGCCAAGCACAGAGAGCCACAGATGTGAGGCCTCGCACGCAGCCAGGGGAAGGAACATCCTGAACTTATTTTGGCTTGTGGGGCTCAAGGCATGTCCGTGGAGCAGGGACAGCTCCGCTCGGATGGAGGAGTGGGTGTGGCAGCTGCCTTCCCCCCTCGAAAGCAGGAAACATTAAACCTGAATTGGTTACACGCACAGATAACCACAAGTTCTGAACAACTTGAAGTCACCCGACCAACCGTGCAGGGGTAGAAGGTGGGATCAGCCAGGGTGAGCCTGCAAGCCTCAGGAAAGGTGATCCACCCAGGTAAAAGGGACATAAGGACAAAACCCACCCCATCAGCACCCTCAGCATCCCTAAGAGGATCAGCAGGCACACGGGGGAAGCAGGCAGGAGCAGGAACAGGCAGCCCGGGGAGCAGGGCCTGGCAGCAGGTCTGGGCTGACCTGCAGCTGCAGGACGGAACCAAAGCGCGCCCAACTCGGAGCTGAAACCGGTCACCGAGCAGAAGCGAGAAATTAGGACAGCAGAACAATGACCTGGAAAAGCACTGGAATGCCCTTCCTCCTGCCAGGGCTCAAGCCTGGAGAACAGGCCAGGCTGCCCAACTCGGAGGGCAGAATAATGTCCAGCAGCCATGGGAATGCTGCGTGCAGCCGGGCATCACTCGGGAGCGAGGGGAACCCGCTCAACACCAGCGGGACCCCAGTGCCACGGGGCACAGCAATGCCATCAGTACCAGCGGGATCCCAGTGCCATGGGGCACAGCAATGCCCTCAGTACCAGCGGGACCCCAGTGCCATGGGGCACAGCAATGCCATCAGTACCAGTGAGATCCCAGTGCCATGGGGCACAGCAATGCCATCAGTACCAGTGAGATCCCAGTGCCATGGGGCACAGCACTGCCCCCAGAACCAGTGGAATCCCAGTGTCATGGGGCACAGCACTGCCCCTAGACCCTCAGTACCAGTGGGATCCCAGTGCCATGGGGCACAGCAATGCCCTCAGTACCAGTGAGATCGCAGTGCCATGGGGCACAGCAATGCCCCCAGACCCCCAATACCAGTGGGATCCCAGTGCCATGGGGCACAGCAATGCCCCCAGTACCAGTGAGATACCAGTGCCATGGGGCACAGCAACATCCCTGGTACCAGTGGGATCCCAGCACTGTGGGGCACAGCAATGCCCTCAGTACCAGTGAGATCGCAGTGCCATGGGGCACAGCAATGCCCCCAGAGCCCCGGTACCAGTGGGTTACCATGGGATGCAGTGATGCTCCCTGGACTCTCAGCACCAGCAATGCTCTCTGGATCCCTGGCCCCCGCAGGTATCCCAGTGCCACGGGGCTCAGCAATGCCCCCAGTACCAGTGAGATACCAGTGCCATGGGGCACAGCAACATCCCTGGTACCAGTGGGATCCCAGCACTGTGGGGCACAGCAATGCCCTCAGTACCAGTGGGATCCCAGCACTATGGGGCACAGCAATGCCCCCAAACTCCCAATACCAGTGGGATCCCAGTGCCATGGGGCACAGCAATGCCCCCAGACCCCCAAGACCAGTGGGATCCCAGTGCCACGGGGCTCAGCAATGCCCCCCAGACCCCTGGCACCTGCGGGATGCAGTGATCCTCCCTGGACCCCGGGCACCGTGCAGCGCTGCTCCCGGCACCCACCAGGGGCACTAGGAGGGGACACCGGGCCCGCAGGCCGCCCCGCTCACCGATCTGCCCGATGAACTCCACTTTGATGCCCTGGTGCTCCAGCCGCTTGTTGGGGTTCTTGAGGGTGAGGACCACCCGCCCCGACACGGTCTCGCCGTCGTAGAAGAGGAAGTATTTCTCCTTCTTGCCTTCCTCCGTCTTGTGCTCCACCCGCCGCCGGCTCTCGGCGTCGCTCAGCACCAGCTCCAGCTCGGGGCTCTGCCCGAACCCGAAGAAGCTCATGGTCCCGGGATGCGGCGCGGGGCGGACCCCGCGGCCCCGCTGGCGGATCGCAGCCGGGGCGGGGCTGCGCGGGGCGACAGCGGCGGCGACGCCGGGGACGGAGCCGGGGCGCGCCGCCCCGCGCCCGCCATTGGCGCGTTCGAAGTCGGGCGGCGGCGGCAGCGCCATGGCGGCGGAGCGGCTGCGGAGCGCGCTCGGCGGGTGGCGGCTGCCGGAGCTGGCCCCAGGTGCGGAGCGGGACCGGGACCGGGACCGGGACCGGGACCGGGGTCGGGGTCGGGGTCGGGTATTGGGGTGTTAGGATCGGGGCCGGTTTGCCGACTTCTTTTCCGGTGTTGGAAAAGAACTCGGCAAACCGGGATCCCAGTGCCTGAAGATTCCACGCTTCAGGAAAATGTCTCTCGGTCGCTCTGTTTCCCGGTCCCTGTCTCTGGCCCCGTCCAGGTCTGTGTTCCGGTCCCGGTCTTGGTGTCAGTCTGTGTCCCGGTCTGTCTGTCCTGGTCTGTGTCTCTCTCCGTTCCCTCTCTCTGCCCCGGTTCCGGTGTCAGTCCTGGTCCCCCTGTCTCTATCCCGGTGTCGGTCCCGGTCCCGATGTCGGTCCCGGTCCCCCTGTCCCGGTCCTGGTGTTAGTCCCGGTCCCGGGGTCAGTCCCGGTCCCCCTGTCTCTCTCCCAGTACCGGTGTCGGTCCCGGTGTCCCCGTCCCGGTACCAGTGTCAGTCCCGGTCCCGGTGTCCCGGTCCCCCTGTCTCTGTCCCGGTGTCGGTCCCGGTCCCCCTGTCTCTGTCCCAGTCCCGGGGTCAGTCCCGGTCCCCCGGTCCCGGTGGCGGGTGACCCCCGGCATTGGGAGGCTCCCGGCACTGTCACCCGCTGCCCTTGGCGCGCCCGTGTCCCGCCGGGTTTGGCCAGCCCGTGTTTATTTTGGAGCCCTGTTTTGGGTGAAACGCGTGATTCGGAGGAATCCCCCCTGGCGCTTATAAACGCTGTTTTATTTCTCTCAGTGTGGGTGGACACGGTGTGGGATCTGGACTTCACGGAGACCGAGCCTCTGGACGCCTGGCTAGCGGAGGAGATCACGGCCGATGGGCTGGACGCCTTCACCCGCCTGTACCGCGCTCTGGCGCCCTTCGCTGCCGGGGACCAGGAGAGCACAGAGGTGACAGCACCTGAGCACAGCCTGCCGCTCTTGCTTTCTCTTCTTCGCATCTGCCTTGCCTTGAAATTCACAATATAGTCAAAAACTGTTCAAACAGTTCTTGCTCTGGGTGCTGGAATGCTTCTGAAGGAAGCTATTCCCAAATTTTAATAATAGGATTTAGCATAATATTAAGTATATATAGTTTTATTATAGTCATTATAAAGTCTATATATACTATTATATATATGTCTATATATACTATTACTATATATATTATTATATAATATATATAGTTACATATCTATAACTATATATATTATATATACACACATTATATATATTATAGTTGTATATTCTATATTATAGTCACTATAAAGTCTATATATACTATTATATATATGTCTATATATACTATTAATATTATAGTTATTATAAAGCTATTAAGAATCAATATAATTTAACAATTATTAATTTAATTCATTTAAGTGTTATTAATTAATGTATTATAAATATTAATAATTATAGTTTATTATACTTACTAAAACACTTTTTAAAGCATATCATACATAGGGAGTTGGTCATGGTGGCGCCTGTTAAAATCTGAATAATGGCTAGTTTTGGACATCCATGTTATTATGGGATTCTGACTGTTCCTGTTTTTCCTCAGAATGTCTGGACCTTGTTTGCTGAGAACAGCCTGTCCCACCAGGCCCTGGTGGCCGTGCTGCATCACTTTGTGCACGTGGGCCAGCACAAAAGAGCCAACAGGCAGCAGAGGGTGTTTGCTCTGCACTCAGCTGGGCTCTACCTGCTGCTGCTGGAGATCCCAGGTGAGCCTTGGCGTGTTCCTCTTCGTGCCTGGGGACAGCACAGGCCAGGCAGGGTCGGGTTTGTAACAATTCCAGGTGAAATCCTCGGGGATTTCACGAGCTGAGCGTGGTGTGAGCGGTGCCACGGGCTGGTGGCAGCCTGGCCTCCTGTCACAGAGGGGCTTGGTGGCCTCATTTGCAGGTCTGTGTCCTGTGACAGGGTGACAGAGCAGCCTGCACAGAGCTGGAACCACACAGGTCCCTGTGCTTTGACAGTCAGGGCAGGAGCTTATTCCTGCTCTGTAACTGGGGAGCATTTCAGTGTGCAGCACATTTGGATGGGTTTGTGTGGAAACCCAGGGCTCTGGGAATATTTCTCTGTCTGCTCTGGGGTGCCCTGACCCCCAGGGCAGCACTGACTCTGACCCTCATTCATGGAGAAAGTTTCCTAGATTTCAAGGTAGACTGGAATCCACAAAAGTGTGAAATAGATTATAGAGAGCAGTGTGGGTGTGTCACTTGGTGAGAAATTGAGGTTTTGGGATTTTCAGTATGTTGTGGATGGAAGCAGGATGGAGGCACAGGGTGCTGTCCTGGGTTTCTTCTTCATGCTGCTTCTTCCTTCTTATTCTTGGGTTTGGGTGCATTTGGTAATTGGGCAGAAAAATCCACATTGGGGCTCTGTGGGATCAGTTATTGGGTTAAAAGTGAAAATAATCTAGGTATCAGTTAATTGAATAGTTTAGTCTTGAAAGACCTTGGAACAAGAGATTGTTGGCCATTTTGTGCCTTCTAATGAAACTCATGGTGGTGAGACTGTTTCACTGATAAGAAATAATAAACACTTGAGTCCAAACATGAAATACCATCTCAAGTGCCTTTAATCCAGACCCAGAGAAATCGACAACTGGTACCTCCATAGGTTTGTTTGTGAAAACAAAAATATGGTTTTAGAATAACCAGCAGCTGAGTGTTCCCAGCAGGTTAGTTCACAGCTGGATCCCTTTGTGTTCCAGCACGCCCTGAGGTTTTGCTGATCTCCATGGTGCTGCTGGCAGGGGTCATTCAGCTGGGGATCCTGCTGGAATGTGTCACTGCTGCTGATGCATCAGCCTGGTGCACTTCAGGCAGTTCTTTATTCTTCTCTTGAACTTTCTTAGGCTCTGGGACACCTGTGGTGAGATCACAGAACCACAAACTGATTTGGGCTGGGAGGAGCCTTAAAGCTGATCTCATTCCAGGGCAGGGACACTTTCCACTCAACCAGGTTGCTCCATCCTGGCATTGAGCACTTCCAGGAGTGGGACGTGATGCCCAGGTGGTTTGATGTTCTCTGTGTCTTGTCTGGAAGGGCACTGATACTTGTCTTTTCTGGGCAGGCAGCATAGCCAACCAGGTGTTCCACCAGGTGATGTTTGATAAATGTCTTCACACACTGACAAAATGCTGGCCTCAAGAGATGAAGAAAAGGAAGAAGGCACACGCTCAAAGCTCTCAGCCCAATGCCAGAAGGAACAGGAAGAAAGGGAAATCATGCAGCAACGACAGCTCCAGTGTAAGATTATTTGTGCAATCTCTTCAGCTACAAATCCCTAGTAATAAGCAAATTGTTGGCAAGCTGTTTCTCTTTTCTGCCACTATAGATGGAAGAGATGTTGGAAGAGGAGAAGGAAGAGGATGATGAGAATGTTTACTTCTCAACAGAAGATCTTCTCCAAGTCCGCAATGCCATCTTCCTCCTCTTAAAAAACTTCCTGAGGCTTCTGCCCAAGTTCTCCCTAAAAGAAAAGCCTCAGTGCATGCAGAACTGTGTGCAGGTAAGAAAGATCCAGCTTGAGAACCTTATGTCCCCTAACCCAGACTTTTTGGGGATGCAGAGCACTCCACGTGGAGGAGGAGGCACCCCTGCCTTCCATCACCTGGTCCCTGGTGGGAGATGTGGGAGCAGGGTGCCTGCTCTGTGTCTGCCTCTCATACTGAACATTGAAGTGTTTTATTCAGGGAATCAGAAGGGTTTGGGTCAGAAGGGACCTTAAATCTCATCTTGTTCCACTCCCTGCTATGGGCAGGGACACCTTCCACTGTGCCAGGCTGCTCCAAGCCCTGTCCAGCCTGGCCTTGGACACTGCCAGCAATGCAGGGGCAGCCACCACTTGTTCCTGGGGGGAGACTCTGTGCTTTGGACTCTGCTTTTGTTCTGCTTCAAGGGAGGTATTTGGAAGTTAAACCCAGTGGTGTAACCCCAGACATCCAGAGCCCTGCACGCTCTCCCCTCAGGGGACTGAGCTCAGCTTGGCTCTATTCCCTTGCAGGTCTTTGTTGAGATGACCAGCTTTGAGCCAGTGCTCCACGAGTTCAAGTTTTCAGCAGCCATGTGAGCAAATCATTCTTGATATTTCTTAATGTTTATATGATGGTCTGAACAAGTAAAGCCCTCAGTGCTTGTGTTGTTGTCCTATTTATATAAAAATGTAAGTGACAAATTCTCTTATGAACATAATTGGAATGTGTTCCATGTGCTACCAGCAAACAGCATCTTGTGAATATTGAATGTTTTGCAGTCAAAGAGCTCTTTTAATAGTCCCATTTACTCTGATGAGAGGTGAAGACATCTCTTTGCTTTCTTTCCTTAGGGATGTTAATAAAGCCAAGTACATTCCTGAGCTGGCCTATTATGGACTTCACTTACTGTGCTCCCCTCTCCACAGCACAGAAGATAAGGTACAAGTTAAACAGAATCTTTAACATCCTCACAGCAGCATGGAAAAGGAGTGGTTGCTTCTTTCCTTCTTGGCATGTCATTTTTGCTTGGATGGTTTTTACTTTTCACTTCAGTTTCCCTCTTTGTGCCATCTTTGCTGGGTCAGAGCAAAGATGATTTTTTCCACCCCAATCCTTATTTGTTGCTGCACTTGTGTGCAGTGAATTCCGTGCTCTGCTGACTCTTATGGCAAATGAATTGAAAACAAAGATCTGTAGTGGCATTGGGTCTCTGAACCTTAAAGAAGAGAGTTCCAGGTGGCTGCCTTTGCCTGGAATGTTGTGATTCCCTGCTAGATGGAGCTGCAGCACCGCCTGGGAGCCTGTGAGGGGCTGGGCTGTGCAGTGCTCTGTGCGCTCAGTGAGGCTGAGCAGGGCTGGTTCTTGTTCAGAGAACACTCTGGGATCGTGGAGCAGCCAGTTCTGCCAGAAACTCCCATCTGTGTTTGTTTAAATTGGCAAGCAGAGCAGGGCATCTCCCACTCACCTGAGTGCTGCTGGTCTGCATGGGGCTGCTGAAGGTTGGGTGTGCCTGGGCTGTGTCTGGGAGTCTGTGTGACCCCCTGGGCTGGTTCTGAGCCTGCAGCCTGGGAATCAGCAGCTGTCTAGTCAGGAAAGCCTGGAGTACCCACCAACCTGGTTATTCCTGAGCGCCAGCCCAGCTCCAGCAGCCCTAGGTCTGTGTTTCTGCCTCCTTGGTTTCTCAGTGCAGCATGAGCTTTTTTGGTGTCCCCACCATATTTGTAGTGACAGCAAGGTGTAGTCACTCCCCTTCCCAGACCTGCCTCATCTTCCCTGCCTCTCCTGCTTGCTCAGGGAATGTCAGGATCATGAGGCAAGCTGTGGTCCCAAAAACGTGGCAAGGAAGGCAACTCCAAGAGTTCAAATACAAAACACATGTTTAGCTTAAGACATCTCCTGTGCAAAACCCAGTGAGTTTCCTCAAACTCCAAAAGTTTCTGGCAAAAAAAAACCAAACAAACTCCATAGGGGACTTTGGAGTGGGGACTTTGCCCTGTTTGGAGGGCAGCTGTTAATGCTTTCAGGAAGCCCTTCTGAGACCTTGCTGAGCTTGCATGAGAACATCACAAGCAGGTGATGTGTAAATACACATCACAAAGGTGTCATGTGTATTTAGAAAGCATAACTCCTAGCAGAGAAATTCCAAGAGGAGACTTTCACATGTGCTGCTGCTTGGTTCTAAGCTTGAGTCAGATCTCCTGACCTTGGAGTGCCCATCCATGGAAAAGAGCCTGGCAGTAACCCCTCCTTTGCAGACCCTTCGGTGCGTGTTCCAGCGCCTGCTCGGCGTCGTTCTGATGGTGCAGAGCAGCGGGGGCTCCCGGCGTGAGGCCCTTCCCATCACATCTGCTGTGACCAGCGCCAGGAACCAGGCTGTGAGATTCATCAGGTGCCTTCCAGAGCTCTGAGCGTGGCTGCTCCTTTCTTCTGGCATGCCTTTGCTTTGCTGTTGGGGTGATAAAGGGATGAGACAAACTGGCACTGGCTTTGAAGTTGTTTGTGCAAATGAGGCTTAATTAAAATGTCTGGAATGGGAATTTACCGAGCTTGCTGGCAGAGGGGGAGGAAGGTGCTGTGGAAAGGACCCATTTTCTGTATTTTGCTTTGTGTCAGTTTTTCAAGTCTTGTGTTTAACTACAGAGGATTGTGGAGGAAATGAAAGATTAACACAGAGCTTGTTCCTCCACAGTTCTTGCTCTCTCCTGCTTAATGATGTGTTTTGCCTGTGTTTATTCCCCCTGTTGGGGATCCATGTTGTTGGAAGTGTACTTTGTGCAGAGATCCCCAGACAACATATAAAAGTAGATTGAGAACAAAGAAGCTTTTCATGTTACCCTTCCACTTGTTAGAAAGGTATGGGAAGAAATTCTTTTGTGCCTGCAAAGCCAGGTTGATGTGGAGAGCAAGGATGGTTCTCTGAGCACAGCCTGCTGCACTCATGATTCCACAATCATGGCCGCTTTTCCTGACTTTTCAAATGCATTTCAGAAGGAATGTCCTTGACTTTTCCTCTGTTATAAACCAGCTTTGTTAAAATCTGCCTCTCTCTCTCTCTCTATCCCCTGTGCAGTTCTCTGGTAGATGAGCTGAAAGAAGCTGTTTATCCTGTTCTGCGAATCTTGCTCCAACATATCTGTACCAAGGTATGCCAAGCTCTGCTACTTCTGGGGCTGGAGAACTCGTGTGGATACATTGGAACATCATTAATAGTTTAGGAGATCTGTTTTCACAATCTTTTCTAAGGAATGTGTGATGAAGTAGTGACTGAGGAAGCTGTGATAATTCTCACTGTTGTTGAATGTGAACATATCAACGCATTAAATTTAAAAAACCGCTTCTCTTAAGCCCTGAAATGCCTTTCTGGCATTGAGAGCAGAGCAGTGGAGTGTCACAGGGTGCCCTGGCCTTGTCTTTCAGGTCCCAGACAAGGCTGATTATCGCACCTATGCTGCCCAGGCCCTGGTGACCCTGCTGGACAAACTCCCCTCTGCAGAGTTCGCTGAATTCATCGCTTGGCTTTATAAATACTCACTCAGCAAAGTAAGTGCATCTCCTTGATGCTTTGGAGATGAAGGGTTCGATCTCAGCACTGAATAGCTCTGTCACTGCTGCTACCCAGAGGCAAGAAAACTCCGTGTTCGCTTCCATTAACAGAGCACCTCGTGTGCTTTTTCTTCCTGCAGGTTTCCTACAGAGTGTTTGCTCTTGATGTAGCCTTGGCTTTGTTGGAGCTGCCAGAGAGGAGCCCAGACAGCTCCTTGTCCCAGGATCATCAGAGTTTGCTAAAGCACAAGTTCTTAGTGCAGGTCATGGTGTTTGGCCGGTGCTCAGACAAAGCCCCCGTGGTCCGCAGCAAAGCTCTCAGCAGCTTCGCCTGTTGTCTGGAAATGAAAGCTGCTGCTGCCCTGGAGAGCATTCAGGACTTACTACAGAGCTGTGAGTATTGTGGGCACATGAGGCAGTGAAAATCATTCTTGAACTTTCAAGGGGATAATTGCTGGGAGGTAGGAGTTGTCAGGAACTTAAAAACTGGCACTCAGAATCCTTACTCCTTACTGTGTCATAATGAGCAGTAATTCATCAGCCTTGTTCCTTATGAAGCCTTGTATTTGGAAGGGATTTATTCTCATGTATCAGTTCTAAAGAGATTCCTCTGTGAGGTCCCTTTGAAGGATGTTTACAGACAACCAAAATTGCTCATTGGGAAAAAAAAAAAAGCAGTTCATTCTTGCCTGACAGCTGATTAAATCTTGAGTTGCCTTTTGCTTCTGCTAAGTTGTTCTGTTCGTGACTGGCATTCCGAGCTCCCTCAGGTGTGGTGAAGGCCAGATGGCAGGATTCAGAGCCTGCACACAGCATCCCATGGTTGGATTGCTCGCCCGAAAAGAATCTGGAATGGCAGGATATCCAGAATTAAAATACTTTGTTTGATTTCCTTTTTTATTTCTCTTTTTTGGCAGCCTCTGTCCGCACAGTGTTGGAAGCAAACACAAACACTGCCAGCGTGACAGTCAGTACAGAAGGTATAGAGTCATTCTTTTCCAGTAAGTCTCAGGCTTTTCTTGGCATGCCATTTCCTAAAGATACACGTATCTGTTAAACCTAGGGCATGCATGAGGCTCTCTGTTTAACCCTGAACCATCTTCTTGCCAGGTGAATATATGCCTTTATTATTCCTAAGCTTTTATCTTTTCTTTCAGCTGGGTCCAACCAACCACTGAGGACCTTACCAACTTTCAGAACTATTGAGTTGAGTGACAGCAGTGACACTGCTGGGCCTGATGGTATGTCAGAATTAAAGCAGCCTTTCCAGATAAGCATTCAAAGCCTTAATTGAAATCAGACTTTCTGAAGTGTATTCATTGTCCATTTCTCAAAGGAAGTGGAGAAAGCTGTTACAAAACACTTAGGGGTGATGAGGGGGGTGGAATTGCCAGCCATAAAGAAATACTATTTCCACTCAAGTCTGAAAAATACATTTAGTCCTGAAATGCAGATGTCTGTTGGGTCTAATGTGGTGGCAACACTTGTTGAAAAGCAGGTGATTTATCCTTCCCAAATGGTAATTTATGTGGAATATAACACTTGTAGCTCCATGAATTTCAGGGTAATTAAATCTCTTGCTCCAGTGCACAAAGAACTGATCTGTTTTGCTGTGTAAAGCACAGCACCTTTCTGTTCTGTAGGCAAGGATCTCTTCTCTGCTGCATCAGGTTGAAAGCTGAAAGCAGAGTGTCACACAAAATGTCCTGATGCAGCATGGCAAGCTGCCTCTAATGTGTTGACAGCATAAAATCACCATGCAAGTTGGCTTTTGTGGCTGGGATGTTCTTCCTTTAAACCTCTCCCTTTCTTTTCCTCTCGTGTGGAAAAGCTTTTCTTCCTGACCTTTCAGCCCCTGCCAGCATCTGCGCTCTCAGTTCTTGCTGTTCACCTCCCTTGAACTGCTGACAGTTCAATTCTCTGCTTGCCTCACATCCTGCAGTGCTGCCTTTGTTCCACGCTGCTCCTCACATGGGATCTCCCTCCCTATCTCCAGGAGCCAGGCTCCACTCTCCCCCCGTTGAAAGCTCCCTTTTTCAAACACTCTCTGCTGATAAATTTCCTTAATCTGCTCCCTCAGACAGAAAAGTCCTCCAGGCCACTCAAGGTATTGTGAATTCCCTGTTTAGTTGCAGGCTCCTCGTGCCAGAGGATGCCTGGGATTGTCTCTGATACCCAGCTGAGCACACACTTGGCACTTGGCAAAACAAATTAAGAAAAGGCTGGAGTGAAAAAAGACTGTCTGGAGCTCCAGAGGATTGTGGAATGCAGGGCTCTCCGAGGCAGTCAAGGTGCATTAGCAAAGCTGTCTGGCCCATGCCTGTGCTTGGCTTGTGCCTGTGCTAATTTTGCTCTCCTCTGAAGACTAAACAGCTCATTTCTTTCAGAAAATAAATAAATCTCAGCCAGGGATAGTCAGAACATGCTCAAGGGCAGAGATAAGAAGGGTGGGGTAACCTGCAAGGTGAGGTGTGCACTGCAGAGTTCCCTCTGCCCACCAGCAGCAAACATTCCCTTCCCTTAAGAGTTCTTTAGAACTTGGGATTTTTGGTTGTTTTGTTGTTTGGTTCCCCCCCCCCTCTTTTCTACATCAGAAAAATCAATGTCAAAGTGTGATTATTTGGTCACCTTCACAAGACTGGACTATTTTAGCAGCAAAATCTTGCAGTGGGAAGGTTCTGTGCTCTTCCTGTGCAGCTGCTCTTGGGAAGAGGATGGAAACTGCACTTAGCTGCCCATTAAGAAAGCCCAGATCAAAGTCCCTTTGCTTCCTTTTGGTAAAAATGTATTTTTAAGCTAGTTTTGCTTAGTTCCCTGTGACTAATCCTCTTTTTAATGGCAACAGGATGGATGTCCATGTGAATCTCTAAGTAACAGATCTCCAAATTTGGCATATCTTTGGGAAATCTGACAAACAGCAATAAATAAAAACCTTAAAAGCCATGATAAAATGCTTGAAGTCCTTATGGCCAGTTAATAGCCCAGTGATTCAAAATGTGAGAAATAATTGATCTGTGTATTCAGTTGTGTGTCATTTAATAACTTTTTGCCTTGATGATGTATTTTTTCTATGCCAACATGCAGAAATAAGTATGAATGTGGCTGTGCAGAGTGAAATTGGAGCCCCAACATGACGTCCAGGGAAGAGAGATGTGTTCTGGTTTCCTTGCAGACTCTGGGGTGGTTCTTTGCAGCTTTGCATTCTGCAGCCTCTAGGAATTAACAAATGGAGTCATTTTCCCTCTGTAGCACACAGCAGTTCATACATTAATGCTTGCTGCTGTGTGCAGCTCCGAGGCAAAGCTCCCAGGAGGTTGTGGGTGTTCTGAGCTCTGCAGAGCCTCCCCTGGCTCTGTGCTGGCTCCTTCTGTCTGAGCTCTGCCCAGGGAGCTCTTCCCACAGGTACCAGGGTTACCTGAGCCACAGACTGTGCCTGGCTCATCAGGCTCTGAAGGTAGCCTGACATCTTTTGTGTAGACAAACAAAGAGGTCAGAAATTACAGATTCACCCTTTTTAAAATTTTTCTTTTGCTGTGTGTCCGAAGTAGTTTGTTCCATCATTTTCTTTTGTGATATATTGAGATGAGTTTTCAAATGAAAGAAGTGGGCAAATGGTTTGGGTTTGTTTTTCCATCTGGTTTATGCCTCATTCTGGATTGCTCTGGGTGATTTTAATTGTTCAGGCCTTCTGAAAGTTTTGGGGGACCATCTGAGTGAGTTTTTGCCCTGAGTTTGTGCTGCTTTAGGGTGGGCAGGTCCTGGCACAGAGTGCCCAGAGCAGCTGTGGCTGCCCCTGGATCCCTGGCAGTGCCCAAGGCCAGGCTGGATGGGGCTTGGAGAAGCCTGGGACAGTGGAAGGTGTCCCTGCCATGGCAGGGGTGGAACAAGATGGGTTTTAAGGTCCCTTCCAACCCAAACCATCCTGGGGTTGTGTGGTTCCAGCTGGTGCTGTGGGTAATTCCTTCTTCGTGGGGGTAATTCCTTTTTATCCTCATTTTGGCTAGGAAAAGAAATCATGGCCATGCTGAGAGTGAGAGCTGGAGATGAGAAAACCAACGTGAGGAAATCTGCTCTGCAGGTAGGGTGGGGTTTGTATCCTTCCCAGCTCTCAGTGATTACCCCAAATTAAATAATTAATTAGGCCACAGCTTTGCTGCAAACTCTGTCACTTTGCCCACTTGTAGCTTCCTGCTCTCCCTGCAGAGTGCCTTAAAGGCATTTAGGATCTTGTTTACTAGCTCCTGATAAGTAAATAATGCAGGCATAATGATGGAAATTTCTCTAGTACCCTTGCTGGCATTCTGTTATTCCGTCATTTGCAAGGAGAGGCTCTTGTCAAATGTCAATAGGCATTTCAATTAAGAGACTTCCTCATAAACTGAAGCATATTAGCTGCTTAGTTTGTTTTGACCTTGTTAGCAAAGGGATTAGGTTATATCCAGCCTCTTTTTGAGCTCTGTGCTGCTTTCCTTGCTGTTCATTTCTTTAATGAAGTCATTAGCTTTTAAAGAGAGATGCTTCAATGGAAATTTCCTTGTCTTAAAAAAAAGGTGTCTGCTGCTGACTGCCTTCCTCTGTTAGTCCTCTTCACCCCAGCTCTTCCCCCTCAATTCACACACTGATTTGAGCTTCCCAGTTAGGGCTTTGCAATTCATATTTTAATGCTTTCTGATTAAGAATAAAAATAAATCCCTCTTCCTTATTACGAAGTAAAAACAGTGGCTCATACAAGAGGCACGTTACTTTCAAGGGGAAATTGTGACACTCTCCCTCTCCAGCTGCTGTTCCAGAGCAGCAGTGACTGGAATGATGTTTTCTGATTCATTTTCCATCTCTGGTTGTGCCCAGCACTCATGAATCTTTAATATGCTTCACTCGGGGTGCGATGAATCTCTGGCTGCTGTTGGCAGGGGGTAAATTGTATTTTTGCTTTGCCACCCAGTGCCCCTAGCATGCCCAGCCCAGCTGAGCCTAAATGGGTGGGTGGGTCAACACCATAAGTGAGGTCCAAAATGGGAGGGGATTTGGGGACAAAGAAGGAAATTCATGGCAACTGCATTCTAGTGAAACAGGAACTTCTAGTGTCCAGCCCAGCTGAGCCTAAATGGGTTGGTCAACACCCTAAATAAGGTCCAAAATGGGAGGGGATTTGGGGACAAAGAAGGAAATTCATGGCAACTGCATTCTAGTGAAACAGGAACTTCTAAGCCTAAATAGGACAGCGGGGGTCAAGGTGGGATCAGTTGGGTTTGGACTCCCAGTTACCCTCCTTGCAATTGCTCCAAATGTCAAGGCAAGTGCAATGAGATGCCTGTAATTTTATTCGGGTAAGGTGTTCCTACCTTAATTAATGAAAATATTTTCAAGGCTGCAAAGCAGTGGGGAGGACAAGGGGTTTTTGACCACTTGTTCTTAAGCTGCCCCAAGGACTTTGTACGAGTAGAGCACACGTGGTTTGTGATTATCGCTGAAATTGGCAACACCAGAATGGAACTCGAACCCAACCAAACGCCTTGCAGACACCCGTGTAGATGGGAGCTCTTCATGGGAGCTTTGAAATGCAACTGAGTGCTGCTGTTTGCCTGGCAGGTGCTGGTGAGCCTCCTGAAGCAGGGGGTGGTGCCCTGCACGGGCGAGGAGCTGGGCGTGCTGCGCGAGCGCTGCCGGGACCCCGCCGTGTCCGTGCGGAAGCAGGCGCTGCTCTCCATCACCGAGCTGCTCCTGGTGAGCTGCCCCCAGCCCAGCCTGGGCAACGCTGGCGTCGTTACAGGGGCGTTTATGTCATGTCTTGGTTGGGAAAGATGGGTGGGTGCTGAGGAAGGGAGGAGTAAAGAAAGAGAGGGGGTAGGGGGGAAAAGGAGGGAGCGCTTTGGAGACAAAGGTTGAATTCTCATAGAGGTGTGATCAGTGCTCGTTTATTACAAATCTAAGGGTACATTTATATCATAACACAGTGAACACCTGATTGGCCACAAAGCACTGTGCATAATACAAAGAGCATTTCTTACCATATCTTGGTCGTGTAGCTCAGCTTGGCATCATTATAAGAACGTCTTACTTCTTATCTTCTCACATCCTCAGACCATCCCTTACCCTTGGGTACAGCAGACAAACTTTCTCATATTTTTTGCCCAAGGACAGTATTTTTTCTGCAGCGGGCACATACACAGAGTGTCTGCAAGCGTGCCTTTTTCAGGGTTGTGCAAGCAGGCCACAATATCTACTCAAAATGCTCTCTGCACAGGAGTCTCCCCTGAAATGGAGAATGTGAACCCCCCCTCCTCCAAATTGCTATAAATTTCAAATTAAGGGGCTCTCAGGAAAAAAATATGGGAGCAGGAGATAACAGTTCTTTACTAGGGAAGAAAATAAAAGGATAAATAAACAATGCAGTAAAATAAAACACTGACAGAGTCAGAGCACAGCCTGACACCCTGTGGGTCAGGGTGCTGGCAGCAGTCCCATTGGAATTGTGGCTCAGCCCTCCTGCAGTGCCAGGTGTGGTTCTGCTGCCGCAGGATCCTGTAGAAGGGTGCAGTCTTCCTCTGAAGATCCAGGGGAAGAGGCAGCTGCTGTTCCTCTGGGAAATCCAGTGGAGAAGCCGTGCTGGTGTTCCAGAATCTCAGATTATATCCAGGTAGGAATGCTTGGCTCCTCCCTCTGGGCTCACATCTCCCAGTGGATGCTGCAGTTCTTATCAGCCATGCAGGGACATTCCATGGCCTGTTATCAGCAGATTTCCCCCGAGGGAGGAGTGGGTGTGGAAGAGATAAGGAAAACTGCCCACTGAACAGGAGACAACTGCCACAGAGATGGCAAATAGAGCACATCTTGCCTTGCAATCCAGGACAATTAAAGACTTTCAATAGCTGCACCTTGGGCAGTCAGAGCCTCCCAGAGGCTACACCCAAGCTGGACAATGGTCACAAGTTTTTCACACAGTTATAAGTTGTGGGATTCACATTCTCTGAACCTGAGAGAGGCAGAGAAAAGAATGATCAAAACAATTCTTATTTCATTCGCTGTACCTGTGTTGTGCCAAAGCAGAATGCAATATGGAGATGGTTTACCCGGAGTGAAGGTGTTTTGTTTCCTTGGCCTGTCAGGGCCAGGGGTGTGTGTGAGTTGGGACTGAGGGCTGACAGTCACCAGATTCTGGGCAGTTGAGTTGAGTGCTTTGTGCAGATTCAGTTTAGATGTAGTGTAGTATAGTATAGAATAATATAGTATAATAAAGTAATTAATTAGCCTTCTGATATCAGTGGAGTCCTCTCTGCCATTTCTCCCTGCCACGTGGGTCACCCTTGATTCCAGTAATAAGTTTGGTCCCTTCACACACCAGGGGTTAATTCTCCAATTACACCTTCAGCTAATGAAGTATTCCCCCCATTTCCTCCTCCCCCAGTTCACTTTTGTTTGTACTTTTGGGGCCCTATACAGTGAGGTGTCCTTGAGTTGGAGCCCTGGAGGGATTGTTTTGTCTGAATAAACAGTAGCTGGCACTCTATATGGAGTTTAGAGTTATACCCTAAAGCAGCTCAGGATTTGAAAAGTACAAAAGCCAAAATCCTAAGGCATCAAGGGGAATGGGAATTCTGCCACACCCAGGAGGGGGGAAAGCAGGAGGGACCTCACCAATCAGTTATTCACTCTGGGAGCTGCATTTTAGGCTGCTCTAATTCTTTTCATTACCTTTTGACTCGGAAGTCATGACTCACTCTGATACCTACTTGTGATTTATGCAGAGTGCTTCCAACTGTTGGAAACACTGATTTTTCTGGCTGTTGATTTATGTGTCATGAAGAAAATGTTTATGTTGCTGGCCTTCTCAAGTTAAAAAAAACCCTGAATCACTTTCAGATGTAATGTGTGGATGATAGCAATGCTATATTTTTCTTTCTTTTCTATTTATTCACAAGGGGTTTGTAACTCGGGCTTGGAGCACAGGGTTTATATTAAGCAAAGCTCCTTTTTTTTAGTGCTAAATCATCTGCTGTACAGCCTTATTGCAAACCTGTTATAATTCTTTATAGAGTCTCAAAACAAAGTGTTGCAGTACTTTAGCAGAAACACCAGGTATTTATCATAGAGATGATTAAAGACCTTGTGATGCTGACTTTCCCTGTCCCACCTGCTGCCACACTGCTGGGCTTGATTAAAATTCAAGTTTCAAAGTTTGTAGCTGAACCTGGAGGCCTTTGCTGGTCTTACCCATGCAATTTGGGATCACCTAATGATTTAAAAATGTGTTTCTCTCAGTCTCAGCAGAGCAATGTCCTGGTGCAGAAGGCCTGGTTGGACGGGGTGGTGCCTGTGGTGATGGATGCAGAAAGCTCTGTCCAAGAAAAGGCCTTGGATTGCCTTGATCAGCTCTTGCTGCAGCACATAAAACCTTACCATAAATCCAGGAGTGATGATGGGAGGCAGGAGCTGGCGTGGGATCTGCTCTCCCTGCTGTCTTCAGAAAGCCAGGAGCTCAGGTAAGTGCATTTTTCCCTCCCTTGCCTCTGTTAACATTCAGGGATAAACCCCAAAGGGATTTTTTTTTCACTTCTAATCCCATTAGAATACACAACTTTTCCTTTACAGAAGGAAATTACCTATTGAGTGAGGACTAAGATAAGAGCCTGAGTTTGTGTTCTCATTCCCTGTGTGCCCACAGACTGTGAGGTACCACAGCTCACACACACCCTGTTAAAATGCACGTGCTGTCTGCTGTGTGACGACAAGAAACCAAATTTTTCTCAGGGATTTCTTTGAGGCTGCTCAAATTCCCTGCTTGGAAGCCTCAGCATCATTCTGGGGATGGAAACCACCACGCTGAGGTGCTTGTGTTGCCCTGCCAGCTCCCAGGACAGGGCTGTTGAGCATGGACAAGAAGAGTTCAGCTTTGCTTTGTCAGGTGTTTTCACCTGCTGCTCCTGTTACCTGTGCTCTCCCCCTGGACTGGAGTGCTCTGTTACATCCCATGCTGGATGCACTGATAGCACATGAATATTTAAGTCAAATGGAGGTGTTCCTCTGACAGAAGTGAGAGAGGATATATAAAGCAAGAACATCACCTTGTATTAATTCTTATGTACAATATGTTACTTGTCTTGTGACAAATCGAATTATCCTGCCTGCCGTGGGAAGGAGAGGGAGAAATGGGATGACACACAGCATGACAAGGACACAACATTGATTAAAGACAGCTGTATGTTTATTAGTCAACAGGGCATAATAGCTCAGAAATAGCAGATGAGGCACTGGTGGTGCTGCCGTGCCAGTGTGGGGAGCTGTCACTGTTCTAATTCGGGCCATTTTCTAACAGGGTTTGCACATTCCTGGCACCTTCTTCCTCCTGACCCTGCAGGACCTTGCAGCTTGAGAAATCTCACAGCTCCACCAGCGTGGAGTAGATAATTAGGGTTGTGCAGAAAAACGAGCAGGCTGTGATGCCTGACATGACTCTGCTGTGCCTTTATCCCAGGGAGCCCTCAAGGCCAGGCTGGACGGGGCTCTGAGCACCCCAGTCTGGTGGAAGGTGCCCTTATCCATGGCAGGGGGTGGAATGAGATGATCTTCAAGGTCCCTTCCAATTTAGGCCATTCTATTAATGCCTTGTGAAGGCTGAACTGGAGCAGAAACTAGATGGAGTTAAAGAATAAAGCAGGGATTTATTAAACGGATCTCCAACTCTGGGTATTAAATAACAACTGCTGGAAAGTTTTGGTTACAAATCACTGAAATTATAATTTCCTGATGTGTCGTGGGGCCAGTTGGACCTTCTGTCTTTACAGCCCCAGATCACAACATCCAAGTAGGAATGCCATTTTCCTGTAGTGAAAATATGTGGAAATTTGGAAGTTTTCAGCGTGAATTGTGGCAATGCCAGGCAATAGCAGCTTTGTTGTGTTGGATTTTTCCTGGATTTTACTGACTGGATTTTATTCCTCCCTAAACTTTCCTTTCCTCCCTGCAGCCGTTACCTGAGCAAAGCCTTCTTTATGTGGTCCAAGCAGAAGAAGTTCACCTCCACTTTCATCAATAATGTCATGTCTCATGTGGAGACAGAGCATTCCAGGGCAGCTTGGATGCTGCTTGCCAAGGTGGCTGGCTCTTCCCCCAAGCTGGATTATTCCAAGATCATTGATTCCTGGGACAGTGTCAGCAGGTCAGTGTGTGCTTTGAGCTCCATAATGCCAGGGAGCCCTCAGTGCCCTTCCACAGATTGCCTTGTAGCTGCTCAAATCCCAGTTTTTCCTTCAAACTGTCACTTCTGCAGCTGGAAATCCAGCAAAGGCTTTGAGATTTGCAGTAACCAACCCTTTCCTCAAGCTCTCTGAGTTTTCATTGGCTTTGACAGGTCTGCCTTAATAATGCATGTCCCAGATGAGAGGGCTGCTCACTGTGGTTTGGTGGAGTGGCTCAGAGCTCCCTGTTGGTTTTGCAGGCAGCAGAGCACGAGCAGTGACACCGTGGGACATGTCCTGTGTGTCATTGGGCACGTGGCAAAGCACCTCCCCAAGAGCAGCTGCGAGGGGCTGAAGGGTGAGTGGCCCTGGCCACCCGCAGAGGCTTTGTGCCTCCACAAACACTTCAAAAGTTTGGGAAAAAATCCTGGTTTTCTATGTGATCTTGTCCTCAGAGAACATCCAGAGCTGGCTGAAGGAGTCTCAGTGTCCCCTGGAGGTGATCAGCCCAGCTGTGGAGACCCTGCAGAAGCTCTGCCAGGCCTCTGTAGCTGCACCAGAGGAGACACAGGTGGGACTTAAAATACACCTTTTAAAATAGCCTGTTCCCCACTCAGGGGGTGTCTGCTGCTGTCTGCAGGCTGTGGGATGATGAGTTCTAAAAAAGGGGCTCTGCTTCCAGCAGCTCGAGCCTGCTCTGCTCAGCTCTGCCTCTTTGCAGAGAACATCCTGGGGCTGAGCCTGGGCTTGTAAGAAATCTTTTGCCTTCAAATGTATTCCCCCACACACCTCTGAAATACCTTGCATTTGCCTTTTGCACAAGTTTACAGAACTTCTAAAGGAAATTTCCTAAAGGAAACCTGTTGCTGTGCTTGATCCAGTTTGAAGCCACAGATTTATGCTGTAATCTCTGTATTCTCCATCAGAGCTGCTGGAAATACACATTTTTCCTAGACTTCATCCTGGAGACCAAACAGGGAGTTCACAACTTGCTCATAACTTTTTTCTGCCTCCATTTGTTTTATGCCACGGCTCTGTTCTGCTCCCATAGTGGGAAGTTAGGCCATATTTTGCTGGTAAAATAAAAATCTCAGCCTGGACACAATTGCAGAGAAGCCAAAATTGATGCAGGTCTCTGTCCCTGATGATTTCTGTTCGTGCCTGTTTTATATTTCTCTTTCAGTGTAGATGGCAGCTCTTTTATAATAAGCATCCCAATCAAGTTTAGTAAATAATGGGCAGAACTGAGCCCTCTGTGCCTCAGAAGCCAGGGTGGGGGTGATGGTTTCTGGGTTTTTAAATTGACTATCAGAAAATCCTCCCCTGTAGTTACAGCCACAACAGAGTGTTGGCTTGAAATGAAGTGCAGATGTCCCTGTAGTTGGTCACTTCACAAATCTAACAGTTACCATTTATATATGTATTTGGTTATTAAAATTACCACTTTTAGATGGTGGAAACCCAGAAATGATGCTTTATATTCACCACAGTGTTGTAGATAATCTGCTTTTCATGGGTTTCCCCTCCACTTTTTGGAATTCATACCATGTTTTCTTGGTTGATGGAGCTGCTTTTTTCAAGCAACATCTAAAAATTCCCACAGACACCTCCAATGTGTTGGGTGCACATGAAACAGTCGCCTAAATCCTTTTTGTTTAAGTCTGTGTGATTTCTATAATGAAGTAAACTTGGGCCTGTGGATCATTAAAAGCCAAATTTTCCAAGGTGTTTTGACACTTGCACACATCCTTTGATGTGCACGGAGAATTTTAAAGCTCTGAGGCACTGTCAGATTGATTTTAATGGGATCCAGATTATTAAAAGCACATAAAGACTTTGATATTAGGGATTCATGTGTGGACAGATATTACAGCTACCTTTTGTTTAATTAATAAAGTGTTGAATTAATTTTGTTTAATTACGGAACAGGAGCTGCTCAACCAGGTGTGTGGAGATTTGGTATCCACCTGTGAGAGCTACATCTCCAGTATAGTCCTCAAAGAGGATGGAGCAGGGCAGCTGCAGGAAGATCTCTTGGTAAGTTTGGGGATTATTATTTTAAATAAATAACCCTTGAAGGGGATTAAAGGGTGGAGGTGTGCCTGGAGCTAGTGTTCCTCAAAATCCATGCCAAGAACTGGGATCAGAGGAGCGTGCAGGGCCTGTGTGTGTGAGATGAAATCTTGTATTTGGGGGCCTGGGAGCCCACAGCAGTTTTACACACCAGCAGTTGCTTTAAGGACATGGCACCCCATGTATTTTTAATATATGACGTGGTTTTTATCCTTGCTTTTCCACTCAAACTTCTGAGATGATCTGTTTGGGGGAGATGCATGGAATGCTTTGAGGAGTATTTCAGTCTCATTAGATGTGGGGGGAGTGTTGGAGCATATTAAACACACCCACCCAGGATTTCTGTTCCAAAGCCTCCCCTTCTGTTCTCCAGCCACTGCCTTGAAGGGACTGAGGGAATTTTGAGTTGTTTTTTGGAGAAGAACCGACTCCTGCTGGCTTAATTTGCAGCTCAGCCTCTGCCTTTTGGCTGCAGTGCTCTTTCTCTCTGCAGGTGAGACACCTCTTCCTGCTGGGTGAGGCTGCCCAGCTGTGCCCAGCCAAGGTGGACAAACACATCTTCCTTTTGGTTCAGTCCATCCTGGCCTCTTCTGGCAGCAAGGACCAAGGTGAGCCACTCCCCCTCTGCCTTTAGCTTTGCATTTGCAGGCACCACGGTGTGCAAGGCCCTGTTTCCATGCCTGGCCTGTTCTTTTCCAGTGTCTGCTTGCACAGACAGCGAGGAGATGGCCAGCTCCCAGCCACTGTCCCAGTTCAGGGGCTCAGCCATGCCTCCCGTGGTCAGGGCTCACGCACTCATCACTTTAGGTAAGTGCCACCCTGCCCTAAAAATGGGCCTTTGTGTATCTCAGCCTTTCTGGTGAAGTTCTGCTCAGAATCCAGGAGAAAAGGAGGCTCAGGGGGGACCTTGTCGCTCTGCAGCTCCCTGGCAGGAGGGAGGGAACAGGGACAGGACAAGAGGAAACTGCCTCCAGGGGAGGGTCAGGTTGGACTTGAGGAAGAATTTCCCCATGGAAAGGGTGGTTAAACATTGGAATGGGCTGCTCAGGGTGGTTTGGAGTCTCCATCCCTGGAATGCCTGATGTGGCACTCAGAGCTCTGGGCTGGGTGACAGAGTAGGTATCACTCACAGGTTGGACTCAATGATTCCAGAGGTCTTTTCCAACCTAAATAATTCCATGTAAAGCTCTGGCAGTTGTGTACAGAGAGCCCCAGTGCTCTGTTGGCATTAGCCCAGCTCAGAGCTTTTTGCAATGCAAATATCCATGGAAACAAGTTGGGCAATCCATCAGAACCCTGCCAGCTCTGCTTCTCCAGGTGCTTAATGCATTAATAGTGGTCAATAATTAGCAGTATCCCCCAGAGCTGTGCTGTCCTTGTGCTCAGAGTTGGGAGCTGAAGGATCATCTCACTTTCAGTAAGATGCTCCAGAGTAAGTGAAGAAAACTTGGTGCTGTTGATGTAGCTTAGAGCAGAATGACTGCACTCAAGTTCTTGTTCTTCTCAACAAGAGGGAAATGCTGCTTTCAGAGCAGCCTGGCCAGCTGCATTCCCAGGATTCTGAGTACCACCAAGTGAAAGTTCTGGGTTTTAATACTTCCATGGTTAGGAACAAGTTTCTTTTGCAGATAGGCAGCATTATTCTTCCCTTAATTGCTTTGGAAAGTTTAATACTTCTGTGTAGAGCTTGGGAACAGGGAGAAGTGATGTTAGAACTATTGCAGGCTATTTTATTTTAGGTTGGTTCAGTGATGCTCTCAGAGGTGGGTGTCTCCCTGCTATGCCTATGACAGCTGGGGCTGTTCTTTTTAGCTGCTTTGAATAATACCCTGTACACAGAAATAGTTTGCTGTGAAGGAGGGAATTTGGCATGGAGACCCACTCTATAGGTCTAAGGGGAGTTTGGAAGAACTTGGTGTACCATCTCCCTGAGAGATCGTGCAGATTGCTCATCAAGTTCCAGCATGAGTTTCTTGTTTATTCCCTTGTTTACTTCCTGATTCCTTCCCTGGCTCATTTTGGAGGCAGCAAACTGGGCTGGGAAGGAGAATTTATCCCAGCTCTGCTGCTCTGGTGATGCCTTGGAGTGGCTGTTTAGAACAGAGGCTAGACAGAGTTAAGAGAATAAATGGGAATTTATTAAAGGCCTTTAATAGATGCACTTTGGGCAGGGTTACAGAGGCTACACCCAAAAGGGATGATGGTCATGAGGTCTTGTATTTGTGGGGTTCCCAGATGGAGGAAGGAATGGTGAATCTGACTCCATGTTTTCAGAAGGCTAATTTATTATCCTTTTTCTCTGAGGCTTCTGATCTTCCCAGGAGAAGCATCTTGGGCAAGGGATTTTTCCAGAAAATATGACTGCCACAGTGAGGTTTTCAGACAGATTTAAGTTTGGTCTGTTTGCATATCGGGGGTTAATCCTCCAATTACAGCTTCAGCTAATGAAGTCATTCATAGTTTGCTTCCCCCCCAGTCCACTTTTGTTTGTACTTTTTTGGGGCCTGAGGCTGTTGGGTGTTCTTGGATCTCACACTTAGAGAAATTGTTTTATCTGACCACAATGTGAAGAGGTCACTAGGCTTTACACAATGCTTAGAGCTGTGCTGTCTTGGTTTGGAAAGCCAGGTGTCTGCTAAGGAAGGCAGGAGCCTCCCCTGAAATGGAGGATGTGAATAACCCCCCACCTCCAAACTTAAAAATTTTAAATTAAGGGGCTCTCAGAAAAAAAAAAATGGGAGCAGGAAATAACAGTTCTTTACTAGGGAAGAAAATAAAAAGACAAAATAAACAATGCAGTAAATCAAAACAACACTGACAGAGTCAGAACACAGCCTGACTGGTAGCAGTCCCATTGGAATTGTGGCTCAGCCCTCCTGCAGTGCCAGGTGAGGTTCTGCTGGAGCAGGATCCTGTAGAAGGGTGTGCAGTCTTCCTCTGAAGATCCAGTGGAATAAGAGGCAGCTGCTGTTCCTCTGGGAAATCCAGTGGAGAAGCTGTGCTGGTGTTGCAGAATCTCAGATTATATCCAGGTAGGAATGCTTGGCTCCTCCCTCTGGGCTCACATCTCCCAATGGGATGCTGCAGTTCTTATCAGCCATGCAGGGACATTCCATGGCCTGTTATCAGCAGATGTCTTATCAGCCATGCAGGGACATTCCATGGCCTGTTATCAGCAGATGTCTTATCAGCCATGCAGGGACATTCCATGGCCTGTTATCAGCAGATGTCTGCCCGGAGGGAGGAGTGGGTGTGGAAGAGATAAGGAAAACTGCCCCTGAACAGGAGACAACTGCCACAGAGATGGCAAATATTACCTGGGATGTGCCAGGCTCTGAAAACCACAAAGCCTAGAATGCCAGGCATCACCAGAGGGGCTGTTTTTCAGGGAAGCTGTGCCTGCAGCACGAGGAGCTGGCCAAGAAGTGCATCGCGGCGCTGGCGCGGGAGCTGGAGGTGTCTCCGGACGTGGCCGTGCGCAACAACGCGGCGCTGGTGCTGTGCGACCTGTGCGTGCGCTACACCTCGCTGGGGGACAGATACATCCCCAACATCTCCCTGTGCCTGCGCGACCCGCACCCCTTCATCCGCAGGCAGACCCTCATCCTGCTCACCAACCTGCTGCAGGTGATGGCGGCGCTCTGCGGGGTGTGCCTGGGGGCTCAGGGTGTCTTTAATCCTGAGTTTAGGGTGTCTAAGGCTGGGTTTAGGGAGTGGGTTTTCTGCAGTTGAATGGACAGCATCTCAGTTGGATAATGAGGTTGTTTTTGGTCAGTGGTTGCACCTTTTTGCATCTTGGTTTCTTTGAAATCCCTCCAGCTTCACTCCTCTGTTGATGGCTGTAACAAGCATCACTGTTGCTGTGTTAGGGATGGGGTTGAACAACACACAGACTCTATGTCTCTTCAGAAGACTAACCTGTCTTTATTAGAAATTAATTCTTCTATACACTGTTCTAATACAGGTGGACCTGATTGGTCATTTAATCAGCACCCCTCACACCTTTGGCTAATTAAGGAGACACTCTTTGGTAAACATCTTATGAGAAAACTACTGTTCAAAACACCAGCTGCAAGATTGTTTTAATTCTTTCTCTCAGCCTTCTCAAAACTCCCCAGCATAATTCTTGGGAAGGTTTATCTGGCTTCTCTCTCTGACCAGGCTGTCAGTATCCACACACCACAATGCCTTTATGCCTTTTTTTCTCCTGCAGTCTCTGCTGATTGTTCTGAAGGTGTGAATGTTGAGAGGCTGGAGATGTTTACCCTCCTAGTTCACATGAGGGCAGGTTTGGAGTGCATTTGGCTCTGAAAACCTTGTTGAAGGGCACACCTGCCATGGGGTGGAAGAACAGATTTTTCTACTTTATTCTTCATACCTGGGGTAAACCTCAATGTGCTGTTGAGGCATTTATGCTGCTTAGAGCATCCCCCAAAACACTTGGGGCTGTTTTGGGGTTTATTTTATGTGCCCGTGACTGAGGTTTTACAGCTTGTTCATTTACCTGACTATGATGTGGAGGTTCACACTAATCTTTTGCTGGTTCAGGTTGTTGATTTGTGCTGATTTTTCACAGGAGGAGTTTGTGAAATGGAAGGACTGTCTCTTCTTTCGGTTTGTCAGTGTCTTGGTGGATCCAGACCCAGATATTGCCAGGTAAAAATCTCAGCTGTGAAATAAGGGAGGAGGTGAAGGGCAGAGATGTCTCAAAACCTGTCTCGGTCTTGGCACCTTCACATTGTGAAGAGCAACGCCAGTGATAAATCAGATTATCCCTCTAACCTCTGTACTTCCTTTAGGGTCTGCAGTGGTGGCAGAGAGGTGATGAGCCTCTCTCCAGGTCATTTGCAAGTCCCAAAGAGTGTCCTTGGGAATGTTCAGCTCTGCTCTATTTAGGACTCAGTTATCCAGAAAAAAAGGAATTTTTGAGACAGAGCCTTGTGAAATCTTGTGGTTTTCTGACAGGCTCTATCTCAAGTGGTGGATTTGTTTAAGAACTAAGATTAAATATTTGTTGCAGTTTTCTTTTTCTTATATTGCATTCCTTGCCTTTTCAGCCTTCTGCCACATCTTGTAATTGTCAGAGGAATGACCTGTCAAATGATGTGTCAGAGGAATTATGCACTCTCATTTTAAGTGCATGCTTATGAAGCTTTTGAGGGTTTCAAGGTCTCCAGCTGCTCTGTTATGTGAGAAATGAGTGGGGCAGGTTTCTCTCAGGTGGGGAGGTCATGTAGAAATTAGGGTTGCAGAGGAGGAGTGGACACCTTGCTGCTTGTTTCTGCCTGGAACAGTCAGTCTGAGATGGATATTCCCAGAACCATCAACCTTTTGTCAATTACCATTCACATTTACTTTTCTCTTCAGTGTCTCTTATATCTAAAAATGTCTTTCCAGTAGATGGTGGCATTGCAGCATCGTGTTCCTCCCATTTCTTTGGGAGCTTTTTCATTTGCATCTGCATTTGGAGACTGCATCCAGACAAAACTACTTTCTTCAAGCCTGGGGTTGCCTTGCAGCTCTTGCAGGACCTTTGGTGATTAACTTGTTGCTGAGTGCTGTGTCTCAGCCACAGTGGAACTCAGGGTATTTAAATAATTAAAATGCTGTGCCTGGATTCAAGTTCAGATTTATTTCTGACTCAGTTTGCTTTAATGGCCATAAAAATGAGTGGTGCTGTGGATGCTGGAAATGTCTGTCCCTCTGAGAAAAGGGTGGAAATCAGTGAGCTGGGCAAGAATTAAATGTGGTAGTGAGGGAGATGTGGCAGAGGAAAACCATCCTCCTGCCTTGAGAGCCCTACACAGCTTAGGGGTGTCTTTTGGGAATTCTCCAGTGATAATTTCTTTCTTCTCCTCCTCTCCAGGTTTGCAGAGTTCTGCCTGGTGCATCTCTTGCTGAAGAGGAACCCCGTGATGTTCTCCCAGCACTTCATCGAGTGCATCTTCCATTTCAACAGCTACGAGAAGCATCAGAAGTACAACAGGTTCCCCCAGAGCCTGCGGTCAGTTGAGCACATTCCTGGCTGATTTTTGCTGAATTATGGGCTGTCTGGCTGTGCAGCTCTCAGTGACAGCACAGCATTTGTGGCACTTGATAATTATCCATGCAACAGAGGGAAAAGAGCCAGGGGAAGCAGTGCTGAGTTGTGCCCTGCCTTCCCTGTGACGCTGCTGTGTGTAATTTGTAGGACTGTGTGCTGTCCTAGCAGGTTTATGGGGCTTAAAAGTGACATGCAAATATCCCTGGCTGATTTAAGGTGTCATTATTCCTGGGAGCTGGCATAATGTGATTTGGGCCCCTGTAAAATGTCGTGCTCTGCCACAGGGCGAAGCAGCTCTTCTCTCTGAAGGGGAAGGAAAACAGGGAGAAGAGGATGAGGATCTATACCTTCCTGCTGGACCATTTCACAGATGAGCAGAGGTTCAGCATCACCACCAAGATCAGCCACAGCATCCTAGGTAAGGGTTTAAAAATGCCTTTAAAAATCTGCCAAACAAAAACCTGGTGTCTGTCTAAAACCTCATGATCCAGGTGTTTTATCTTCCTGGCTTGCCCATCACTGCTGCTTCTGGGAAAACAAATTATTTCTTGCCTGTGTCTTCCAGCTTGCTTTGTGGATGAGGTCCTTCCTTTGGACCTGGAAGGCAGTGAGCTGCTCTCAGATACATTTGCAGTCCTCAGCTGCAAAGAAATCAAGCTCTCAAGTATGAGGTCCAAACCTGAGGAAGACGTTCAGGCTGATGAAGATGAGATGGCCATGGCCAATGCTGTCATGCAGGTGGCCCAGAAAAAGCTCATCTCACAGGTGAAATATTGTATTTGCAGGGACCCTTTTGGCAGGGAGGAACGAGGCATCTGACTCCATGCTCTCAGAAGGCTAATTTATTACTTTATAATACTGTATTATTTAATATAATACTATACTAAAGAATACAGAAAAGATACTTACTGAATGCTAAAAATGTAATGATGAAAAACTCCTGACTCTTTCCATAGTCTTGACACAGCTTGGCCCTGATTGACCAAAGAGTAAAAAACAACTCACACCAGAATCCAATGAAACAATCTCCAAACACATTCCAAAGCAGCAAAACACAGGAGAAGCAATGAGATAACATTGTTTTCCTTTTTCTCTGAGGCTTCTCAGCTTCCCAGGAGAAAAATCCTGGGTGAAGGGATTTTTTCAGAGAACATGAATGCCACAGCGAGAGGCACTTGCTGTGCTGTGTCTTGTAAAAGCACAATATGAAGGCAGAATTTGTGATGCTTGTTGTGGAGGTGGAGGGATCAGAAGTGCATTTCCCAGGAGCCAGGGGAGCTGTGCTGAGCTGGATTTGTTCCCCACTCCTCTCCTTGGTGAGGCATTTGAGCGGAACAATGATTTTCCTGCACCTCTGGGCAATTTGCCTTCACTGTGAGATCTGAGTGACTTAGTGATGCATCTGAAAAGGCTCCACTTAGGTTAAAAGCCTCTGTGCATGTGTGTGGTGTAAGAGCAGCCTTAATTACAGTGATTCCCTGGCTGTGGAGGGATAACTCCTCTGAGGAGCCACAGAATGGCTTCTCCTTCACTGCCTCGCATAACTGTTCATGCCTTGTTCACAAAAAGGTTCAAAAGAAGAATTTCATCGAAAACATCATCCCAATAATCACATCACTCAAGTCCCTGATGGAGCAGAAGAGGATCCCAGCTCTTAAGGACCTGATGAACTGCCTGCGGGTAAGGGGAAGTGTTTTCCTCTCGGTCCTGATGTTTTGATCCTCTCTGGAGTTAATGTGCTGGGTGTGCAACCACTGCCACAACCAAGAGCCTTCTTAGGAGGGAGGAATTCAGAAGATAGGATGTTGTGACACTGCCACTGTGTTAAATAACGTGGGAGGTGGAGGGATTGGAGATGAGGCTCTCAGTGTGGAACGTGGGCAGGAAGAGAGCTCAAACGCTGCGAAATTTTTCCGTGTTCTGAAGAACAAATTGGACTTAAAACTCTTCAGTCTGTTAAAAACACCTCTGCTCTACCAACTGGTGTTTCCTTTTGCTCCCAAGCAGCTGTGATCTGAATGGGGATGTGAATCAGTAGCTGGGGGAGATTTCTGAAAGGGTCCAAACATTCCTTGTTGCTGCAGGAAATGATGCAAGATTACCGAAACGAAATCAAAGACTTCTTTGCTGTGGACAAGCAGCTGGCAGCCGAGCTGGAGTATGACATGAAGAAATATGAAGAGCAGCTGGCCAGGGAGAAGGAGGCAGAGCAAGAGCAGCTCTCAGCAGCCCACAGAGAGGTGGTTATTGCCATTAACTCTGTACATGTCTCCTCTGCTCAAATTCGTGTGCTCCCAACGCCCAGGCCCTGCCTGGGGACCCTGCCCCAGCACTTGGAGCAGGATGGTTATCAGGGGTTTTCCTCCCTCTTTGTACTTCTTGACAGAAGCTTTGGTTTCAGGGTCATTTAATAGCCTTAGAACATCAACAAACAAAGCCAAGAGGAGCAGCAAATGATTAATGGAGAGAGAATTCAATTTAAAGGAAAAACCAAGTCTAATTTGGTACTGGCTGGGCTTAAATGTTGTATTCTCTCTGTTCCCAGAATGATGAACTGGTAACAAAGAAAAGAGTTCACTTTGCCTGACTCCAGGTATCTACAAAGTGGAAATTCAAACCCATCCCAGTCATGCAGATACTCTTTTAAATTCAGTGTAAAGAAATAAATATGTGCCTGAGTCAGTTGTCCTGAGCTATTTTAGATCCCTACCTTAAGATGAGATGACTTCAAGCCTGGAAGTTCATTGCTCTGCAGACCTTAGAAGAGCTCTTTATATATAGACCTCTAAACTAGGACATTTGTGTCCCTGCTCACTTCTTGGTAAAATTTTGGCCAATAAATTGTTCCTCCCCAGCACCATTACATCCACCCCACAAAGGGCAGTTCTGAAACCCTCAGGTCCAAGCACCTTGCAGGGTTTTCTGCTCTTGTACCCACTGTCAGACGTGACCTTTTCTCCTGTGTTCCACAGCAGGCTCCATCTCTGGAGAGAGCTGCAACTCCTGGTGGCCAGAACAATCCTGGGGCTCCGTCTCCTGGGGGTGGGAGGCCATCCACGCCTGGCTCCATCCCTCCCCCCGGCTCTTCTGAGTTTGCCACCCCTCGTGCTGAGGCGCTGAAGCAGCCACGGGTGGGTCGCAGGTATGGCTCCTCACTGGTACCTGGTATTTTGTATTTATTGCATACTTATTTTATATTTATAGTATATTTGTATTTCTTTTCATTGTTTATATTTTATATTTTTATATTATTTTTCTATTTAATGTATTATTTTATGGTCTATATTTATTTATATTTTATGGTTTATTTTATTGTTAATATGTATTTATATTTTATATTTTTATATTATAGTATATATATTCTATATATTTTTATTTCTTTATATTATCTATATTATTTCTTTTATTTCTATTATGTATTTATATTTTGTATTTTTACATTTGAGTTTATACATTATCTTGTTAATTTATTCACATTATTTATATTTTTTATTTCTTTATATTATCTATATTATTTCTTTTATTTCTATTATGTATTTATATTTTGTATTTTTACATTTGAGTTTATACATTATCTTGTTAATTTATTCACATTATTTATATTTTTTATTTCTTTATATTATCTATATTATGTCTTTTATTTCTATTATGTATTTATATTTTATATTTTTATATTTTTACATTCTCGTTTATATATTATTTTATATTTTTAATTTATCCAATTACTTATTTATTATCTTTTTATTTCTTTATATTTTTATGTTATTCATATATTAGAGTTTATATATTACTATAATTTTTAAATATAATAATTTATTTTATTATATTAATATTTTATATTATTTTATATTAGAGTTTATATATTTATATTTTTAATTTATATATAATTTATTTTATTTTTATTTGTTCATATTTTATATTTTTATATTATTTTTATGGTAGAGTTTCCCTATTATTTTATATTTTGAATTTCTTTTTATTATCTTATTTTTTATTTATTTATATTTTATATTAATTTATGGTAAAGTTTCTATATTACCTTATATTTTTAATTTATTTACAGTATTTTTATTATTAATTTTATTTCTCTAGTTATATTTATTTAGATTTATTTAGATTTATTTTTATTTATTTTTACTTATTTCTATTTATTTATATTTGTTTATATTGCTTTGCTGATCCTTTCTTTAGAGACTTATTTATATTTATTTATATTTGTTTATATTGCTTTGCTGATCCTTTCTTTAGAGAGCGGTGTGAAAATCCACTGAGTTACAGCATAATCTTATCATTAGGAGTTAACGGTGCTGAGGGGGGGCACGGATCTTCCCCTCGGGGGTCTCGGGGCTGGCCGAGGGAGGTGCCAGCTGCTGTGTTTGTCCCCAGGGCCGCCTCCCTGAGCACGCTGGCCATCCTGAACTCGGCCAGGAAGGCGCTGCAGGAGCGCAGCCAGCAGCGCAGCAGGAGCAGTGCAGGCAGGAGCCGTGCAGCGTCCTGCGAGGCAGCGGGCACAGCTGGCAGCCAGCAAGGTGGGACCTGCCCCGGCTCTGCTCTGTCTGCCCCCGGCAGGGCTGCGGGGCACCACAAATCTGTCACTCCCTTCCTTTCCAGGCTCCTTCCAAAGCCTGAACCAACAGTCCAGCGGAGGAAACATGGCTGTGGTGGGCAGAGCAGTCAGCACCCCGGAGGGTGAGTAGGAACTGGTGGCTGTGGGTTATTTATTTATCCGAGTGCTTGCAGGAAGGAAGAGCCCTCCTGAAACCAAGGGATGGGGAAACTGAAACTGTGCATGGGAAAGCACGGTCCAGTGTGTCCATGTGCGTCTCACAGGGTCAGTGCAGGAGGGAATTTATTCTGGGATGCTGAGGTAACAGGGCCCTTTTCCTTTCCTTGACTCTGGGTGGCTGTGGTTCCTCAGCAGCCTGCCCTGCCCAGAGCTGTGGCAGCAGCTCTCTGGCCACAGAGGGAAACACAACTTTCCAGGGATTTTCCTGGGAAAGCCTGTGAGAAGATCGGAGAAAAGAATTAGAAACAATTCTTATCTCCACTTGCTGCGCCTGGTGTTGTGCACATGTGGAATGTGTTATGGAGATCTGTTTACCAAAGGGTGATTTCTTAATTGGACACTGGATGGTGTTTAGGGAGATTGACCAATTAAGTCAAAGCTGTATTGTCTGTAACGAGCTTCTTAATAGGTATAATATATTATAGTAGAATAAAGAGATTGATCAGCCTTCTGCAATCATGGAGAACCAATATTTATAGTAATTGTTACCCATACTAATTATTACCTAAGAACCAAAGGTGCAAGGCTGAGCAGTTCCTTGGCTCTGGAAGCACAGCAGGGCAGTGTCAGGGTGCCCTGCAGAGCCCTGCTGCACAGGGAAATCCTTAAGGTTTGGTCCTCCCTGCTCTGAGTTGTCCAAACAGGGTCTGGGGTGAGCTGCAGGCTGCTCCTAGAGCAGGCACAGGGCTGTGACAGCTGCAGGGAGCACAGGATCTGCTCAGAGGGATTAACAACCTGCACAGACACTGAGGGGGTGTGTTCCATCCTCAGAACTGGAGAAGGAGTGATGTGGTTTGGTTACTGCTGCAGAAATGCACAGAGAGCAATGTCCAATGCTCACTGTGAGCCTTTGCTTGTGTCACTGCAGCTGAACCCTGCAGGGCCAGGTGCTGCTGGAATGCTCTCTGACAGCCCTGCAGGCACGAGAGGCAGTTAGAGCAGAACCCAAATGGAGCTGAGTTCCAGCAGCAGATCCCCTTCCTTGCCATCCATTTGCTGCTGAACTCCTTTAGATCATCTCTGTTGTGCTGTGAGGTGCAGAGAATTGAGAGAGCTCCATGTGTGAGTGTGTGACAGCTGTCTTTAGGTTTGGGGGCTGCTTTGGGAAGGTTGTGGAATCCCCAGGGAGCTGTGGGACTGACAGCTCTCCTTAATTTTGGGGCTGGAATCCCCCGGGAGCTGTGGCAGTGCCCCTCACACACAGGAGAGCCACCCTGCAAACCCCTGACAGCCCTGAGCAGGCACTGGTGTGCAGCCACTGGAAAATCTGATCCTTCCTTCCCCATGTGCTGGGCTGCACTTGTTGCCTCAATGTTTCTCTTTGCCTGAGCAAAAAAAAAGTGGGGTTTTATGCAAGAAGTGTTTTTAGAGAGCAGGATTCTTTGAGTGCTGTGGTCTCCTGGAAGCTTGCACGGCTGTTGCTCTTAAAGCACCATATGGTGAAAAAGGAGGGAAAATGTTAATCTGCAGTGGTACTAGAGCTGAATTCCTGCTTTGCTTCGAGGCAGCATGTGTCCTTCAGCAGGGAGACAAACTGTACAGAGCAGGAGCATCACTTCAGTCAGCGTGTGTTGAGCCATCTGTATGGTGGCACAGGCTGATAGACAACCAGAATAAAACATTTTATTCCTCTGGTGTATCATTCTGAGACTACTGGAGACGCAGTTCTTTGTAAATAGGTTTGTACTTGAGAAGTTGGGAGCAGCTGTCCCCTCTTTCTGCCTCCTTCAGCTGTTCTGGCTGTGTTCTCTCTTCCCTTCTGTCTCTGGAGCTCCTCAGCTCCTGCTTGGTGCTTTGGGAACAGCTTCAGTGGAGCTGGGTGAGGGGGGACAGTACATAAACATATTGTGGAGATAACACACTGCAAGGGAAGCCCTACTTCCCCATTTTCCCCTCCTTTTTCCCCCCATTTTTTCCCCATTTATTTTCTATTTAATCTTTACCATCTCTTTACCATTTTTCCCCCTTTCTTTCCCTTCCTTCCCCATGAATATCTCCTTACCAAGGTAATTTCTTCAGGCCCACACTGCAGAGTCACTGGCACAGGTCAGTCCTGGCAGATGCAGGGCAGAGCTAAGGCAGATGGATCAAGTTTGATTTCTGCTCTAAGCTTCAGTGATTCCCTTCCAGGACAGGGCAGGAGTTAAAGAGCAAACACAGTTCAGCTGTGAAGAGAGGTCCTTTTAGCCGAGTTTCCAACTCCTGCCCTTTAAAGCACTTCCTACCTTAATTCCTTGTGAAAGGTTCTGGGAAACATGAGCATAAAACAGAGCGTTGAGTTAAGTAAAATCTGAATATTGTGACATCTCTCCTGAGATAAATGACAGGAAAGAGACAGCTGACAACCAGGGCCTATTCAGGCAAGCTAAATTCTACCTAGCTCCCCTGTCAAGTGATTCCTCTTGTCTGGCTGCAGGCAGCTCCTCACAGCGAGGCTCTTCAGAGCCTTTGGCAGTTTTCACATTCTGCCTTGAGGAAGAGGAGCAACTGGTCTGGGTGGAACGTGTTGCTGGCAGAGATGGCAGAGCTTCAGTGGAAGGGGTGGCTGTGCCTGCCAGGCAGGGCAGGGGGCACAGGACCAAGGTCCCACACTGATTTCCTCCAGCCAGAGGCTGTGAGGCTGGAATTTGGAGGTCAGCACAGTGAGGCTGGATGGGAGACCCTGAGGTCTGGGAGAAAGAGATAGATATGTGTGTTTGCAATTAACTGGATTTACTTACTCTGTGACACTTGAGCATTGCACAGCAGCGTGCCTTGCCCTCTGGCTGTGTCACAGGCTGCTAATATGTGATTTTTTATTTCCAGAGACCATTAATGAGTTGACTTTCGGTGCTGGGGTCAGTTACATCAGCCTGATGCACACACCCCGTTCAGCTCCAGGCAAGTCATCTCTGGGATTCTTATTTGAGGGGAGGGGAAGGAAAAACAACCCCCAGACGACCAAATCGCGGCGGCATTTGGTAAAATACGAAAATACATGTATTGTTTGCAGTGAAGAAAGATGCTGAGGATGGGCCAAGGGATATCATCTGTTTGACGTCGCCGGAGAAACCGTGAGTGCAGCACGGGCTGGGGCAGAGAGGGAGAGAGGAGAGAGGGGCTGGGGCAAACAGGGAGAGAGGGGCTGGAGCAGCCACTGCAGGCAGGGAGAGGCTGGATTAGGCACTGCAGGCAGAGAGGGGCTGCTCCAGCCACTGCAGGCAGGAAGGCTGGCCAAGGCTTGGAAATGCAGGGTTGTTCTCCTTCCTTCCTGCAGCCCCAGCCGGCCTCGGGAGTGGAAGGTGGAGTCCCCAGCCAGGAGGAGCAGCCAGCCCCTGCGACGGTCACAGCGCAGAACCCCCCTGAGGGCAGACACCTGAGCCTGCCCCGGGCTGCTGCACAGAGCCACCAGGCTGCCTGGAGCTGCCCAGCCCTCTGGGATCAGAAATGGGTGTGGATGCACATCCTGCTTTATCTGCTCTGAGCTGGCTTTCCCCAGAGCTGTCTGGAGATGGGCAGAGCCTGCATAGCTCGTTGTAAGTGCTGCTCTTCACAGAGCTCAGAGCTGCAGGGTATAAAACAAGGGGGCTTTGCACTCTCAGGATGTGTAATTTGTCCATTTGGAAAAGTAAGGGCATAACGTCGCCACAAGCCTGGCAATAAATGCATTTATCACAGCTTGCAGGGCAGTGAGTGGCTGGGTTTACTCACCCAATCCCTCATTGTCCCTCTTGGTTATATAATAGAGTTGCTTTAATTTGAAAAAAGGTGAAACAGCTTGTCACTGCCACACCCCTAAATCTGGTAATTGCACGCTACATCACCTCTTATTTGTTGTGCAAACTCCTGTGTGTATGAACAGCCTTAATGTTCTTTTTATATGGAATATTTCCATTCCTGAACTGTGTTATTTCCAACTATTAGCATTTGATGAAAATAAATGGTTGCAGAATTAATTCCACCCACGGCGTCTCCCCTTTTCTTCAGCTGACAGAGAAATGATTTTTTTTTCCCCCTGTTGATTTCTACAGACTCTCAGTCTCTTCTACCACATCACTGGTATCTTGGGCCCTCAGTTCAATTAATGTTGGGCCCAGCAGGTTTTAAATAGAGACTGACTTGACTGCAAGCAGGGTATGAGTGGCTCAGACAAGGTGGGTAAGTGCTCTGGGCAGGTACCTGGTTTCTCCTAAACACCCTGGGTAAATCTGACCCTTCCTGAGTCTCCCTCATGGCCACGTGCACTTCACTGAAGTTCTTCTGCTGTTAACTTTTATCACAGAGCTTATGGCCTAGATTTCATTGAGACTTGGAGCTGGGATCTGTTTTATTCCTGCTGGTTTGTCTAGCTCAGACACGAGCCCCAGGCAGGGAGCAGGATTTGCTGCAGGAGTGGAAGCAGAGGCACTTGCCTCCTGCACTGGAATCCCAAAATTTGCCTCCACTTTCCCTACTCTCTTTTGAAGATCAGAGAACCCTTCAAGTGAGGTTAAACTTTATTCCCAAAATCAAAGTCAGAGAACAGAGGATGTATGGAATGGCTTTGGCTGAAGCTATGGCCAAGCCATTTATTTCTGCACCTTCTCTCCTGCCTTCAGCTGTTATTTAACCACTCTGAAGGGTAAATTGGGATAATTTATTTCCTACTTTTTGTTTTGTCCTCGAGCAGTATCTGAGATGAGCCCTGTGAGTTTTAACCTGTCTTCTCTAGAGAAGAACCAGGAGCAAATGTCCAAGAATAAACTGATAAACAGCCCTGGACTTTGTCACCTCCATCCACTGTAAGTGAGTGCTCTAACAGGACCTTCCCTTATTTCACTGAATTGAAAACAGGAGCTTCCCATCATTTGGCTGTTTGAAAACCACCACCAAACCCAAACAAAAACCCCTACAAGAATGCTTCATAGCTTGGTATTTATGTAAAACATTCTTGGCAAAGTTAAAGGTAATACATTAGTACAAACCTGAATATTATTCACAATGGTACAATGAATTCCATCCTTCAGCTCTCACAAGCTGGGTGGGGGGAATCACCTCCCCTTTCTCTCGTTAGAGATGCCACTGTGCATTTTAGAACTGGGGAAAATGAAAAGTTTGGATTCCTAGCTCTGCTGGTTTGTCACACAAAGGCTGCCTTTGGTGGGACTGCAGATTTTTGTGCTCCCAGAGCTCCCCTGGTCCCACCCCTTCCTGTCTCTCCTTTATTGCAGGTACCCTGAAAGCAGCACAGAGGAGGAGCAGTGGGTGCCCAGAGGGTGCAAAGGAATGTCAGAACAATTAGAGGCAGCAATCAGCACTGGGTGGCTTGGATGGAGAGCTGGCATTAAGAAGGTAACCAGGGAGAGGCTGCAGAACAGCAGTGGTGATGTGTGAGTTACACAGAGAAAACCTGGCTGGGGCTGCCCCATCCTTGTCTCTGCTTCCCCTGGCAAAGGGACAAGTGGCAATGCTTTGTTTGGGTGGAACAAATGCAGCAATGGCATGTCCAGCGAGGGCTCTAGGAAACACAGCAGAGTAAAGCAGAACACGGAAAAATAACACTGACAGTCCAAATTGTCAAGTATCCAAAATACTGTATACAGGAAAAGTTAAGACAACTCAATTTATATTGGAAATACAAGAACACTAAATTCTGCTACATTAAAAAACTTCCTAAACCACAGCACAGTCCTAGTGTTGCATCCACATCTTGCAGCCTGGTCTCACCCAATGCTGTTCAACACTATCAACATGGATATTTTGGGAAACACGTGTTCCCCATCATTCTCTCTAAAGCCAAGAGAACCAAATTTGGTTGGTTTTGCTTTTTCTTTTTTTTTTTTTTCCTTTACCATCTAGAGAAAAATTTCAGCTGACACTATAAAAGTGCTCTTGTGTTGAGCTTTTGCTTTCCCAACCCCAGAAAGAGTGGCCTTGGCCATGTGGTTTAAACCTGCCAAGCTGCTGTAGCTGTCACACTGTGTTAGTGCTTTAGGGAACTTGCAGAGGGGCAGCAAACACTGAAGTCACTCTGTCACCTCTTTGGAACTGAATCCAAAAGCCATCCCTGGCTATTTCTTGCAACGACAAAAACAAAGTGTTGGTCACCGGCAAGAAAAGATTTTTTTTTTTGTTTCATATAAAAAAGTTGATAGCTCCTGCCATAAATTTACAAAAACTATCCCTGAGTGACTCTGTTCTGTGTCTGGTAAGACCTCTTGTGACAAGGAAATGGCTGAAGCTGGCTGAAGAGGAAAGAGATGCTGTTCCACCTGCAGCTTTTTGTTACACTTTGCACTAATACTGATATGCTCTGACAGTGCCACACTATAGCAACGTGTGAGCTCCTCTCTTGTAGCTTCAACAGTAAAAAAATAGCTCCGTTACTCAAACACTGCTGGCATCACATATTTACACTTTTAAATAGAAATGTTACCTTTTCTGAAGTAATCAAAATAGATCTTTGCAAAAAATTTAGAAGGTGGGGTTTTACAAAATAAACGGAGAAGGTAAAAAAAGCTGGAGGATCTCTCAGTACCTTTTATGGCAATCTTAGCCCAGGAAATTATTTGGCTTTAATTTTCCTGAAAGGGATGTCTTAGCACTGGTTCTCTGCCTCCCCTGTAAGCCTCTTTGCCCACGGAAAGACGCAGGAGCCAAGCCTGCTTTGTGCAGATTAGAACGAGGGGTTACCTGCGTGCAGGGAGCCCTGCCAGGCAGGGAGCACGGGCAGAGCCCCTGCCCTGGGGTCCTGTTAAACAACAGCATTTGGGGACGGTTGCAGAAGGGCTGAGGGCATTAGTGGTGTTTTCACTGTCACTGGTGGCCGGGCACACACCCCCCTGTGCACCTGAGCAGTCAGAGCCCAGCACAAGACAGTCACAGATGTGGAAAAGTCACCAGCCAGGCCTGGGCAATGAGCTGTTGGGAGGAAATCCCCCAAATCTCACTCTTTGAAGTCCATCTACTGCTGTATCAGCCCCTTTTTTTTTTTTTTTTTGTCTACTGGTAACACTCGTGTCTACGACAGGTTTACCTAATGCTGTGCCCCTGCTGGGTTTGCACATTGTGGTTGTGTCCCTGCAGCACAAAGAGAAGGCAATTCCACAAACTTCCACAGCCCAGTCTCTTGGGAAGGATTGAAACCTTTCCTCAGTCCAAGGACAGGTTTGGGTGATCCTGTTGGTATCTCCAGAGGCAGGGGAGACGCGAGTTGGGCAGTGAGGAGTTACTTTAAACTTTGGCAAAGAAAAAAAAGATATACAGATAGCTAGCTATCGAGTTCTTGTGTGTTCCAAACTCTTCCAAGCGCACTTAATTAATCTTTTGCTCTTGCTTTGAGTTCCTGGAGGAGGTATTTTCACACTTGCTTTTGCTGGTTTGCAATTTCCTTTTGGCGTCTTAGATGACAAATGAAGACTTGTGTCTGAAGTCGCCCTGCAATGAAACAGTTTGGGATGTAGGAAGGATCCAGCAGCTTTCCAGGCAGCTCTCTGTTCCTGCTGCCCCCAAAAGGTGGATCCAATCTGAGGATCCTGCCCAGGCAGCTCCCATTTCCCACTGGGAAGAGGAGGGAGGCACCAGTTCCACTGGCCGGGTGCTCCTCCCCTCGTCCTCCTCACACACCAAAGCGTGGCAGAGACTTTCTCATTCCCTCACTGATATCTCTGCTAATGGGAGAGGCTTTTTCTGGTCTTAAGCTCAGTGATCTACTCAAATCCCAAAATACAAATTCTCTCGTAAAAGCATCACGTCCTGCCCACTTAATCCAATGAAACTCATCCTAAGGGGGTCAGGCCATGAGATAACTCTGAGCAGAGCTGCCTCTGATAGCTCCTGGCATCAGTCACTTCAGGCAACTTCAACTGTTCATCATTTCTAAGGAAATGACTCAGCCTTCACCCTTCTGTTTTCCCTCTGTTCCCCAGCCCTGCTTGGGAGTGGAGCCCACTCTCACCAACTCTGTGGGCCCCACCAGCGCCTCGTCCTCTGCCCACCCTCCTCCTCTCCTGCCAGAGATGGAAATGCAAAGCATTTGTTGGTACCTCATCATCTGTCCGGATATAGTTAACGCCATCAGGCTTTGCTGGAGCCTTGTAGCTGAAAGAAAGGGAAAAAAAAATCTCATTTCTGGGACAGGAAGGCTGCAGGATTTTGGAGGGGAGGTGCTGGGAAAGATGGAAATGAGGAGGAGGAGCTGAGTGAGAAGCAAGCAGAGAGAAACCCAGTTTGTTTGTTCCCAAATGAGAGGTCTGTGTTTGTTCCATCATTTACCACGACTGGGATTTTGTCTAAATTCCCCTTCAGCACAGGGTGAAAAGATTGCTGTGTGCTGATTCCCTGAAACTCTGCGAAGAGATAAACTGATTCTTTCCTGGGATCTCCTGCTTTGGTGTCTGTCACTGCCTTTCTGTGCCTCCTGCTCTGTTTCCTCTGGCAATTATAAAGTTCATTTTAATCCTTCACTGCCAGAAGCCTTCAGCATTTTTCTTAGTTACAAGGAACCACCACTTGTTTGCAATCCCACAGGATCTCAGGATTTATACAAGACTGTCAAGTCCAGTGTGTGCCAACCCTCAGCTGCATTTAAATGGCATATTTAGAGCATTTTCTGAAAAACAAACGAAACCAATGAGAAAAACAAGACAGGACTTGTGCTGAAAAGCAACATTTAGCACAGAACAAATCTATCTGGTGAGAATCTTGGCTTTGCATATATTATCTCCTCTCCAGACTCTGTAAGGACATTGAGGCTTGTCTCTGATGCTAATGCTGTTGTTTTTAACATTTTCATGTGTGCTCCAGAGCGGCTGTTTTTCATCCCAAATTTAGGTCCTCACAACTAGTGAGACTTTCTGTGGAGAGCCTGCTCTGCTGCATCCATTCCCTATGCATGTCCTGATGCTTCAGGCTAATTAGGCAGCGAGCTGAGATGATTAAACCATGGCTCTGGTTATGCCAGCAGCACAGGAGCTGCTGGAC